ATATGGCACTTTGGGAAATCATCTCGTATTCAAAAAAGGGTTCGAATCTTAGCTTTACGCATCCCTCATAAGTTCTTGATGCCATTGGAATGTGCGGTATGATCGCCTGTCGTAACATTTAAAGATGGGATAGCGTAACATAAAATATGTTTGGTGGAAGTTGCAATATTTTACGCATGCCACGCCAGTTAAAGTTAGCAGAAATCCTCTAACCACTTACGTATGGCTTCCCCACATGCGAAGTTTGGCAGGGAAATATTTACACGAAAATGAGCACCGTATGTCTCAAATCCTGTAACATTTTTGTAAAAAAAATAAGAGGAGAAAGCTGTATATAAGGTGGAGAAGGGCTCTTGCTGAACTCAAAGTGCGTGAATAATTCGGCTCCTTATCATAAATTATTCAAATCACGGCCGTGGCTTTATGGAGTGCGAACTCGTATTTTGAATCATGCGATTAGTTATGTCCAAATCTCATGTTTCTTTTGCCCCTCATAGCCGATACAATCTTCACAACCAGCCATTGTGTGTGGTAGCTCAATCCTGTGCGTGTGAATTTTAAATATGAGGCAATTTCGCTTGCCAGAAATGTTTAATTTAAGCTTTATACATGAGCATTTAGATCCACGTGAAGATTAATAATAGAGCAGGAGTAGGTTGTATTACTCGCTACACACCCGGAACAATGATGTACGGAGGGCAGAAGAATAGTGAGAACTGCGCAGAGAACGTGCATTGTTTCCACCCAAGTGAACTTGTATTAACGAGAGAAAGTTGGGCCAATCCGTACGCATTTTCTACGTGCTGAGAGCTACACTAGTGCACGCGTAGAGTGGGAATGAATGATGGGAAATGTTTTGTTGGGCAACAATAGTCTGGATCATGCTTACATTTCCTAGCTCAAACCTTCCACAGAGTTAAGTGGTTGTGTGTCCACCTGGGAATTATGTTTTGACTCGGTCCGACTCTACTACCCGCTTTACCAACGGGCAGCTCATTTAACGGTATAAGGAAGAGTTGGTTGCTATTCAGGGTTGCGTACTGACTTCCTTGCGACTTTCTCAAAGTTCAGGGTGAAAGCTAAATTAGTAGGATCCTTGCCAATGTGAACGACACATTTATTTTGTGGTCAAGTGTTTGAAAATATATAGCACAGCTCAAAATTCAATTTCTGTAACCGGAGAGAAAGCATCATATTTATATGTAAAAATTTTAACACTACGTCTGGTACTTGCATACATGTTTGCACTACAAAGTTGACTACTTTTGCATAGGCTTTGGATAAAGTAGGGCAAGTACTTTTGCAATTTACAAGCAAATTAGGACAATTGGCCCTAATTTAAATACGTTGAACTGAAACTTTGTCTATTGACTTGGTTAATTTATTGTGAGTCGCTCTTAAAATATATGCAACTTGCAGAGATGAAGACAATAGTTTTACTGAATATGTACAAGTACCGCTAGCAAGTCTTACCTCATTCTTTCTAGGTTGAGATTGTTATCGAATCAGTTATTTCAGTTGAGATGATTTAACGATGCTTTAATGACCAATGAGTAGAATTAAAAGTTAAAATTTAATTAGCACCGTCTGAAATCTTCGAGCAAATTATCTTCCAAGTTCCTCATTCATGTGAAGCTTTAGAAAATGATTTGCTCCTATAAGATAGATTAATCTCAATCGGAAGGAAACTATCTCTGAGCAGGAAATGGATTAAGATCTGATTGAACCTCAAGAAGGAAACAACGGTCCAATTTAATGTGATCTAAGATCGTAATTTAAGCTTTATGCTCCTCCATTTAAATGTATCAGGGGCGATTTGGATATTACTTATTGCCAAAGTAGACTAAATATATGCACATGTACAAGAGGTGCACATACGTATGACACGTACACTAGAGGTAGACTAGTGTCCCTTAGGATATTCAAGAAGGACGATGGAATGAATGAGGGAGTCTCAGTGGCCGACCGACAAGGACCGATCCGAGGCTGAGATCGTAAGCTGATCCTGATTTGAGATAGAAAGATGAAAGGATGAAGGAAGAAGAATGAGAAAAGTTTCTCTGCCTCGTTGGACTCTCGCGAGATTGGATGGAAATAAATGAACTTTGGTTTCCTCCGCTTCCACATTTTGTCTACTTCTTATTTTTACCAGACACGACCGATCTCCTTTTGTACCAAGCTAACTCGACCACACTCTTAGGCCTGAGTTTTCCCGTGAACGTATCTATGTCAATGTATGTTTTAGTGTACAGGTTCACTGCATGTGCATACACAAAGTTATTCCAAGATCACACTTCCGCATGAAATCGCTGCACTGGATATTTTTTTCTACCAGTGTCACTGAAGTAATAAGTTGAGGACAGCATACACTGTAGAAATTGTTAAGAGACCTCACCGAATTTAATTGGGCGTCCAAAAATTGGGCTCATCTTTGACTGGTGGAAGATTTTTGTTCCTTACATATTTCCGTTCATGCGGATCAATAGGATGTGGAGATGGTTTAATTGGGCAATTTAACAAAGTGTCTCTTTTTCGATAACGATCTCATGATTTCCTGGAACCTTAGATTTACTTTCACCCTCCGGCATTCTCGATATTTTTAACGATTATTGGAATTTTAAATTACTTATGTGCTACTTGAAACTTCTCATAACGAGGAGCGTCATCCATCCAGCGATGTTCTCCCACCTTTACCACGTTCGGTGAGAGTAAAGTGCTGGGGAAAGCACAAAAAATTTGAATATCGGCAAAGTTTAGCCTTAAACTTTTGTTTTATAATGGAAAGTGATACTTTTCAGGGTGGGTTAATGGAACGGCTTGAAAGGGTAAATGGAAATCATTATCGTGAACCAAATCTTCCGTTACGCATTTCCAATTTTCATTTAAACCTGGCTCCCGATGGGACGAGCCGAGCAGGCAGATTTCTTAGCAAGCAGAATTTGACAAGAGGCGAGTCTCCCACCAAAGTGAAAGGTTCTTTTATTCGAATTCTTCCTTGACTTCAGATTTGTTCAAGTATGACGAACATTTATAATTATGATTACTATTCTTTAATTTTGCAATTTAATCATTCTTGCAATTCCCAAAGGGCGTTTGTATCAATTTAAAAATTTTGTATCAAGATTTTGAATGAACTGACCACATTTCGTGTCCAATGGCTGTCATTGTGTGCAATATACATAAAAGATTTAATAGAATTTTTGACTAATTGACACACTTCACTACCCTATGTCATTAATCACGCAACACTCAAATGCTTCCAACTGGATTTTGAATTCTTACAGTTGATTTCATTTCAGTTAAGAAACCACAAAGAAATGTCGGTAGGTTGGACAGTTCAAATACAACTTCAGCCTTTGATCTCCTTCTCACAATCAATTTGAGTAAAGTAATTTGCTTGAGGAAATCAAACGTCACATTATTATCTGGTCTACCAACGTACGGTGTTATTTGAAATAAATTGCAGTACAGGTTTCGCTTTCAGGTAATGATGATAAATTGCACATTCATTACACAAACATTGAGTTAGAGGAAATGGGAAACAGGGAGACATTTCCTGTTTACATTATAGAGAAAGTTTTTGTTGGAATAAAAATTCTCCTGAAAGTAAATGGAGTCGTCGTGATGGAATAAAATTAAGCTCCAGTCATGTTCTACTCCACAAAATTGCATGGTAATGCTCAGGATGTGCATGCTTTTGCTTTCACCGGATAAATTTTGTACAATAAAGTATTGCACCAGAGCGGTGGTGATGGTGGTGGAGAGGAAAAAGGGTTGTCAGGATGCGATGCCCGCTGCCGTCAACCCTTCCGTTCAGAAATGCAATTGCATAAACGAAGGTAATAATATTTCTTGGGCTCGTGCTCCTCGCTCGACAATGACATTTGTGTAAGGACGACGACGAATGACACAACGGTGGGTTTATGACCCGCAACTGAACAATGTGACGTGAATGCTAGAGTCGGGTTGACTTTGTCATTGAATTTTGGTCTGACTTTTGACATTTTGATGTAGATGATGTTCTCGATTTTCTGCGTGCGTGCGTAGATGTATGAATTTGTGTATCGTGAGGTAACGAGGAGGTGAGAGTTCTGCATTCCTTTTATTTTATACTATCCAGCAGCTTATTCATAAATTTATATTTTGTGGGCGGCACTCCAAGTTGCTTGTCATTGTCACATTCATAATCCAACTTGTCAACTTTCTCTGAGCCTAAAAATGCATTTCCAGAATGTATGCGTTTCTGTGGGGTTAGCAATGCAAGGGGTTCACGATGATGCTTCTTTCACCTCAGCTCACCCAGCAATACATATCAGCGACGTATGTACGACGGCTGAATTCACCTGGTACAAGATACCTCTGTTTGGTGATAAATCTTCCTGACATGTAATCCTCATACTACATGATGGTCCTTGCACTTAATTATCTTGAGGTTTTCCATTATATTTATTAAGAAAATCTTGCAATCATTTGTACACAAACATTTGTACATAAAAAAACTTTAAGGTTGCAACTCTCCATGCTGTTGAATTCAGTTTGTATCGTCAACAAACGATCTACCTAATACTCCCAAAATCACGAAGCTGTCATTCTCTAGAGATTTTCATGTTTGAAAGCATTCATGCCAATCTTGTGAATTGTAAATTGTGAAATATTTTATGCTTGACTGCGAGTAAGATTGTAAAACACAATGTACGAGTTTAGTGGAACCTGTGTAAACCTTCTTAAGGTATCAACCACAGATGCAGGGTTTAAACGAGTGGAAAATTGAAACTTGACAAAGCTCAAATCTCAATGGAAATATGTCTGACCATGCAAAGCAGAGCATGCTTCGTTTGCTCTATTGCGTAATTGTGAGTGGGGTTACAGAGCTTCTACGCATGCAAATTACAATGGTTTGCTAAATAAATTAGTCGCCCAGTCTCCAAGTTAATTACGTGGCTACACATTTTGTGAATTTAGGTGTGAGAATTATTACTAATTTTATTTTTTATTTGCAGGGACGGAAGTAAAAAGCGTGCCATCGGCCCACTCGTTTGCACCACCTACAGCGAATTCTCATTTATACATTTATTACACAAAATTGTCTTATTTTCAAATCACAAAACAAATTGAAATGTTACGAATATGTAGTAAAGCTTTGAACATATTTAGATCTATATGTGTATAAAATAGTCGCCAAGATAAAGTTTACTATCAAATCCACTGCGTCAGGTGTAGTCAGTCAGCATTAGCTATGTTCCTTCAAGTAGTGATTACTCACTTCCATCTTCATCAGTTGGAAAATTTACTCCATACGAACAGATTATTTCAGACTGAATTACACAAAATGGAAGGTGGATCGAACTATTATTAGTTAGGAACAAAAGTTTCCCTTACTTTTCCCTTCAAGTCTTGTTCATCCAATTCATTTCCAAAGTTCAGCACACTACCGAACAAAGACCGGCCAGATTTTGTGTTAAGATAAGCTTTCTCAACCATTCTCTCCTGAGCTCGCTGCGTGCAGTGTTGTGGACCTTTCTTATTTTTGTTTTAACACAAAGGACGCCCCCAAGAAATGCGTGTGACCGTACGAGCGAGCGAGCGAGTGAGTGAAGGAAGGGAGAAAGTCTGCCCACTTCCGATCGTGGTAGCAACGAACGTATCTCAAATCGAAGTAGGAGCGTTCTCGTTTTTAGCCCGAACCATTAAGTAAAAATCCTTTTGTTCTAAATTAGTAGTCAAAGTTGCAGAAATCGATGTGTAGAAAAATTCCTCATTGTCAGGTTTAATCAGGAAAAGAATGGAAATTGTGAATGATGGATGACATATGCATGTTCATGATACATTTGTATGTGATAAATGGTGTAATATTTTTACAGGATGAATTTAATAAATTTCACATGTGTACAAAAACTCTGTACAAAACGTAGATATTCCTTTGAATCTCTGCATGAACTCAGTCAAGCGCATAATTGAAGAGCAAAACAGTATTTTCAAGACGTCCGGGAAATGCCACGCAAAATTGGGCACGGTTGAGCAGAGAGCGAACAAATCTCCACAACTCAACGCAGACGGCTTTCCTGTTCATGCTTCAGCCCAAAGTGAAAGCGAGCAGTTATTTCTTGATTTTTCGAGGGATATGGAGTGAGTTAAATAAAGTTCACCGCGTGCTCAGCTTGCTGAAATTGTGATCCTCGGCAGATGTTCAGGATGTGGTTCAGGATTGAGTAGTGTAATAAGTGCAGCTTTTGGTTAACCCGACTTGTTTTTAGCCGAACAGGTCAAAATGAATATGAGTGAGTGTGTGGGGAACTGTCAGCCATCAGTGACATTTTCTCACCATTGCAATGCTATAAATCACTGGAAATGTAAAAAAAGTGTGCAGCAAAGCACTATATGATATGCATGTAAACAATAGTTTGTTATACCTCTCAGAGGGGCAAGAAATGGGGGGGATGTTGACAATGAAACTATAGAACGAAATGCCTTGCGGTGCAATATGATTGATTACGCCAAACTTTGATGATGAGGATTGAGTAGGGCTTGCACAATTTACCACCCACGACTGATCCGAAAGCAGTCTCTAATTTATAGGCAATAATGAGTTGGATTCCACAAGGTTGGTCCACACGAAAAGAGCGAGGAGCCAAATAAAAACGTGAATGAACGTGAAACGTGGTTTAACATTTTATTTGTCAGGTTGAGTTTTCTCGAGTAAAAGATGAGGTGAATTGAAAATCTAAAGTCAAGGGTCTATTTCACGCTCAAGTGGCATTGCTCGGGTGGTGAGTCACGACTCAGCAAATCAACCACTTTGAATTTGAATTATTCCGGATTTCACGACTTCAGTTCGCTATATAGCGTAGCTAGTGCATAAGTAACTGTATTTTGAGGTAGATAGTTCAACCTTTCAATGCACAGAACGAACTTGGACTCTCTCGTCAAAGAGCATCATGGGATCTGGAGAAAGAAAGAAGTTCAGCGAGTCTTCAATTCAATTCTACTCGAGTTTGGTTTAGTAAACTTTTAGTAAAAGAATTCATATCAGAGGACTAATATAAACTGTTTCATTTCCACTCAAGTGGAGAGAACCGATTTTCAAACGTTTAAATATCCCACTTTGCATAAAGTACGCAATTGTAGTCATGTTCTTCATTCTTAATCTAACCAAATGTTGTCCATTTATTGGGTTTAGTAATTACCAAATCATAATCAAAATATGCATGTTGAATCAATTGACAGTCGGTGCCATACACTTGGGAACCCAAATTATTGTTAAATCTTTATTAGGTTTAAAGTGTTACCCTCGCACAACTTTATCCAATGCAGCAGATACCACAATGTAAGTAAAGTCGGAGTTAAAGAAGTTGGAAAGGTTCCCCTCTGCGTGGCATGGATGTAAGCACCATCCGGATATTAGTATTATGCGATGCCATTTCTGTAAGAAATAAGCACGAGGGTGGCGAAGAGGACAAAGGGAACGTTAAATGGAGGCAATCGCACTCGTACTTCTTTAATACGTGGGCAATATTGCCTACTATGCAGTAATCATAATCATAATAATAATGCATTATTCGAGTCAAGTCAGTAATTCAAACAGGAGCAACTTTCCCTTTCATCTCCTTTTTCGTACGAGCGTCTAGAATTATTACATTACGTATTGCTAAACACATATTGTACTTTCTTCATCACTATGAAATATCGTTTATTCTCTTCACACACAATGCCTGCTGATGCAATATTGCACAGGAATTTATGGACCCTCAAATACAATTTGATCGAAATCCAACCATACACACATACATATTCATGTAGAGCGAAGAAGTTTGGGGTGCAGAGCGATATGTACATTTGTCAATTTGTCAATCCTTCTCTGCTAACCCGTCAATATTCGGCCTTATTTTATATTCTAAATTTTTGTAAACAGCCCTGAACGCCCAGATACAATGCATACATATGTTTCATACCCATATAACTTCACAATAGGACCATTTTTTATTAACCATATAAACTAGAAAAAAGCAAGCAAACTTGTTACAGCCGATGCACCTCTTTAGCACACCGCGTTTTTGTAATCTTCTTTATTGTTAGAGTAATCCATCTTAGGAGCTGAACCAAGTACACGTCAAGAAAATAGGATGGAAAGTTGTTCACTCATTGAAGAAAATCCCTGTTTCTTCCCATCAAACCAACACCATCCAACCCGAAAGAAGGCTGATATTGTCCTGTTTTCCTTCTTGTAGAAAACTCTTGTTGTCTGCGGAGCACAAAAATTGCGACAAGAATGACGTAGTAATGACATTGTTTGTACTTCCAGTTTCCTCCCTCGTTTCCAAACATTTCAAAGAGATTAAAATCTGTTGTAGAGGAAAGAGGTTCACTCTGGTTCGGTGGAAATAATGGGAAATGGATTATAGGATAATAATAGTGTTACGCTGTAGTTGCGGGGACTTCACTGCACCCTCATCATTACGTGAGGGTGGCAATACCATTTAAAATAAATTCAGTTTCTTGGATGAGTGGGAATGAGAATCTAAGTCTTATTCAACTGCATCTTTGTTGCTGCTTACCAAAGTCAGCCGCATGATCCTCGACTTTATCACGCTGCATTTCCTACGTCCCCTTATTCTCCCTTCTCATTTTCAGCTAAAACAATGGAGAGTTTCCATCAGAACTCTTCAACTTAGGATTAGTCACTCATTCCTGGATTGATAGTAAAACTCGCAAATGAACGAAACCTAATCAATATCCAGAATGCATTCCATGACGCAGAGAAAATCATAATATTTACACAAGAGTCGAAACAAGAGCTATTCGAATGAATTTTTCTATAAATAAATACAACTTTAATTAAAAAATGGTGTACAATGCATCGGAAATCTAAGCTTCTCACTGCACATATGTAGTCGTTGTCATGAAATAGCATTATGCAGAATATTTACATATTGGTTGAGTAAGAGAAGAAGCGACTCTACCAATTGTTTAAAAATCTGTTAACTCCTTGCGTCGTATACCAGGTTCATATCTCTCTTGTTTTTGCTACAGGTATTTGAGGAGAAATTGTGATGCAGATGATGCACCCCGAATTTATTTTGGGAATGAATTTTATGGAATATAAATCTAACACCGCCACCCACCCATGCACCCATCGGCACTGTCAACAAAAAGGAGGAAGGAGATAGCAGTGATGATAGACAACCCAAGATGGATGAGTGCATGGAATCCGAAAATTCAACTTTTGAAGTTGAATGAAATTTGAATGAGGGGGAGTGAAATTCCAAAATCCGGAGAAGCGTGCAGTCCGTATGTTTATCCATTCACGTCATGTTGGTTGGATGGTTGGTCATACTTCCCTTTCAAAGAGGAAACCAGAAGCGTGAAAAATGCACATGAAATTGTATTCATAATTCATGGAAATATCCCACAGACAGAGTGAAAGAGGTGATGGTTCACGTCCGGCATTATTGCAGCAGAAAATCCACAACGCATATGAACGTGTACACGCGTAGTATGAACACGACCAGGATGTTTGGGTTCACATCGGTTGCTTTCTCCTTCAATTTTTCTTCACTTTCGTCCCCCATTCGTCACGCTTTTATTTTACAACTTTATCAAGATTCTTTCTTGGATTTGAGGGATTGTACGATGGGGGTGAGTGAAAGTTGTAAAATGAAAATAGAAATCCTGGTTAAAACCTCGATATGTAGGACCAAACCAGTGTTGGTAGCGAGTCTGATGTATGCATAAGAAATACATATTGTCAAGTTTTGAGATGATTTTTATTGGTAGCGTCTTTTATTCAATGTACAAGGTAACAGAAACAACGACTAAATTGGTTTATATGGAATTGACTTTGCAGAAACAAATATCTACAAAAGTCGAGAATTATAGGAAAATTCAATAAAGCTATGTATGCAGTCAGGAGAAAGCTGATAGATGTATCTAATATCCCTATGTGCACATATGCACTTTTGTAGCACATTGCTGGTATGGAACGTTGTCTACCCACAGAGATTAGACAGAAAGACGGATGGCTAGGACGATTATATTACGAGATACAACAGCAGATTGTTAGAAAGTAGCATGGAACACTTTCCCAAATATCTTCCAACTTTCCATGCACTTCAGATTTAAGAAAAATTATGTAAAGTGTTTGCACAAAATGATCGAGTTACAAATAAAATCTTTACTTTTAATTTATTGGGATCCGAAGTCAATGACAAAAAGAAAATCTCATAATCCAGCCAAATCTACCTCTAAAAAATAAATTTTAGTTGCCAGAATTTTGACATTTTTCCTTCAATTCGTCTTTTGCAAGGTAAAAGCTACAAGGGGGCAGGAAACTCCAAAAGAAGGGCCGCGAGTGCAGTACTTATTTTTCTGCAATTGTGACCGGTCCCCATTTGGGAGTGCAAGCGATAAGGGTGCAACGGAATTGGAGACTTTCTATGACC